TATCGTGAAGTGGCAGAGGAGGAAATTACTATTTCTGTTTGCTTAAAAAAAAGTAGTTCCTGTCTCTCAATTCCAGGTGGAATTGATAAAATTAGAGGTGTGGGCTTTCTCCCTTTTGTATCTTGTGGGCTGGATTTCGTTCCTGGCACAGTCCTGACTTTAAAAAAAGACGACAGATGAACAGTTTCTTCAGGAGCTGCATGCTGACTCAGCAGTGAGGGCCCTGCCTCGATTGCCCTTCCTCTAGGGAACCAGCATTGTCTGCCAAGGTCCTTGGAAACCCAGAAGCTGCCTCGTGGGGGTGCCTTGGAATCGGAGGTTCTGACTGCCTGTACTTTGCAGGTTAAGTTAGACCCCAAGAAAGGTGGGGGGGTGGACGTAGCATCCATTTCTGCAGTGTCACTGCAGGCCTGGACAGGGACAGGCTGCCTTGTTTGGGGTGCAGTATTGGTATCAGGGAGGGTCAGCACTTTCTTGTTGTTGACGCGCTCCTGCCAGAAGTAAGGCAGCTGGCTGTGGAAAAACACCAGACTGGGCGTCAGTGATCTGTGTTTTCTGGCTGTTCGTGAAACCTTGGGGAAGTGTCTTTCCCTCGCTGGACCTCAGTTTCCTCATTTTGGAATGAGAGGGTTGGACTAACTCTGTGGTTCTTTGTGACTTTGGTGAAAGCCATGGACTTCTCTTCCCAGAGAAATGAACACACGTGGTTTGGCCAACACTTGAGGAACTCCCTGAAGCCCATGAGACGAAGCCCTGGACCTGTAAGGCCCTGCCCTGACACCTACCTCCCTATTCACGCACCTCCAGCTCCACAGGGCCTTTGCACATGCTGATTCTTCACCCCTTTGATTGGTCCGCTCCTGCTCTTCCTCCCAGTCTCACCCTTCCCTGACCTCCCAGATTAGGTTAGGTGCTCTGCTAGACGTGCTGCCCTACCCTGAGATTCTCAGCACTGGTCACAGTGGTATCTAAGGGAGTCTTTGCACACAGTATCTGACTCTCCCCAAGCTCCCTGTCGGTATTTGTTGGGTGAATCTCTGAGGCCCCTCTGGCTGTGACATTCTGAGACTGCTCTGTGAGTGTGTCATAAGAGAATCCTGATCTGCGCTTCCTGTGGCACTACAGGAGATGTGCCTTTGCCTTCGATGATTTCCTCCAGGGCTGGGCAGGGAAGTCCTCAAAACAGGGTCTAGAGGGCCCAGAAGACGGGCTCCCGGGCTTTTTCCTCAGTGCTCTGCGGGGCCTTCCTCCAGGCTGGCCGTTCCCCTCTGTTTATGTTCTGGACTGCACTGGAGCTCCCACTTGGAACATTCCCACAGTGCTTGGCGCTTCCTCGTATTGTTGTATTTTTCTCTGGAGGGGAAGTGACCAACATCAGACTTTCCTCCCAGCGACACATTCCATGCACAAAGCCTGGAGTCAGCCACTGGGCACCGGCTGGAGAGCCGGGCCTCTGTCTGCCTGCCTCTGGGGCGAATGTGCACCTGACAGCCATCACGGGCCTTTCCCGGCTAAGGTTTCTGTCTTAATCTCCCTCAGGGAGTGAGCTGCGCCTTGCAGGACTCCCTGCCCAGGTTTCTCCTGAGTGCAGTAGTGTCTTGTATGGAGGGGAGGGCTCTCTGTAAAGTGTTTCAGACTTCAGTAGCCACAATATTACCTCCCTAGTTTATGTCACTTTCCACAGTCAAAATATTATTTCCATGGTACAAATGTTTGTAGGTGAAATTTTGTTTTAATTGCACTAAGGGAATGAGTTATTTACCAGTACGTTGCAGTGGATCTTACCGTGATGTGGGGGAAAAACAATCCCTTGTGAGGGGAAATAATTTTTCTTTGTATCTAAAGCTGGATGTTTATAGATAATAAAATAGTAACAACAGCAACGGTGGCTATTCTTTCAGAGTATCTGCTCTGTGCCAAGCACTTTTTAAACATCATATTTAACCTTTAAACTACCCTAAGAAGTAGGCGGCATAATAGTATACATTTTACATAGGTGAAAAAATCAGGTCCAGAGAGATTATGTTCCTATCCCAAAGTTGCCCAGCTGGGAAGTGCCCACACGGAATCAAACCAGGCCCGCTGTCCTCACAGCCAGCACGTGCCACTGCTCTCCTGCCTCCTCGGGTCATGAGGAAGTGGGGAGCAGGTGTCCTAGCCAAGGATGAGAGTTCTGGAGCTGGAGCTGCCTCTCTCACTAAGTGTGTAGCCTTGATCCCCCCATCTGTAAAGCAGACGCAGGGCTTGTTGGGCCCCACCGTTCTGAGTGATTTGGGGCTTGTGGTAGTTGTACCTCGAGGAATAACTTTGATAACATGTGGCCAAATGCTGTGTGATTGAAGGCAGCGCACACATCCAGCAGCCGCAGGGCCTTTGTGTGAGACACGGAGACGTCGTATGGGCCTTGCAGTGACCTTTCTGCTTCTGGCGGCATTTTATTTTCGGTTTGTCTGGTCTGTTAGAGTCCCATGCTGTCTCCCTGAGGGGTGGATGGAGATGGGTCACTCGCCCACTTGGATTGTGAGCATATTTACCCTGGGGGTGACTCTAAACGACGCTTTTCCCAAGCTGGGAGTTAGTGAGGCATTCTTAACAATAGGCTATTCCATTTATCTTCCTGCACCCGCAGACAGTTCACGTTGGAATCGTTGGAATCGTTTTGGGAGGCCCTGATTACCTGAGAGGCAGTTGAACCACAGGTTCCTCATTTCAAAGCTGTTCTCTCGGGGACATTTCTCGTTCGTTTGGAAGGTTCATTAGTAAGTTAGTTGTTTGGAATTTCGGATGCATTTTCTTGTGGAAACTTTCTTACGAATGTGGCAGCCCCGGCTTAGAAAGGGCAGAGCAGGACTTGAACCCAGGTTCCCTGACTGTGGCCCGTTGTCCTGTGTGTGCACAGGTGTGTGAGGAGCTGACACAAGCATGGTTCCTGACCTCACGGGCTTTATAGACTAATAGGGGAAAGCAAAAAGATAGAGATGAAACGCGACACGGGGAGCTCTGCCTGAGCTGAGGGTGGGAAGGTGGAGGCAGCAGTGCTCTGGCGGGAGGGAAGGTTTATTTGTGGGTTAGAAACTCTGGCTAACCCATTCCAGGGGGTGTGGGGGCCATCGGTGTGTGTGTAAGTGGGGAGAATTCTCATCTGTTTATTCCTTCTTCTGTCTGCCCATTTGTTCATTCAGCAGAGAGTTACTAAGCACCTACTGTGTGCGGGTATTCGGCTAGTGCTGGGCGGCAGCGTGTGCAGAGCACTTGGTAAGTGACAGCTTCCCTTAGGTGACAGGAAACGTCGAGATCCAGGTTCATAAGTAGAGCCTTTTCCATCTATTGTGCTTTTGCAGATATATTGAACTTTGTGTCTTGTGGAGAAAATGAGGTCAGAGAGCATATCTGGCCTTGAAGAGTTCCTTGGGGAAGATTGTTATGGCATTTAGTAAGAAACTGGTCCCTTCAGGACCTATGGGGGGCTGATTATTGATGAAGGTGTGGGGGTGCAGAGTTCAGGTTGGATATGGCACCACCGTTATGTTCAGAGGGGCCCCCTGGCGTGGTGGTGCTCCCGGGTGTTTGCTCTCTTCCGGTGTGTGGTTGCAGTTTGATCTGAGGAAGAGCTCGGTGGCACAGTGTCAGAGAGATGGGGAACTGGCAGGGGCCCGCACGATTCGCTCTCTTTCCTGCCCGTCTTTGGTGGGGTAAAATGCACACATTCTGTTGGCTTTTCCAAGTTCGGAATCTCAGGCTATGATTCTGTAACAATATTTCGATAGTGGTAGATCAGAATATGGAGCCTTAAGGTCTCATGGAGATTTGGGTTTGACCTCGTTCAGTTTGCAAACATAGCAGGATTATTTCCCGCTCCCTCGGGATGGGCCGGAGCTGGTCTGCCACGATGGCCAGGGCGCCTGGAAGTTGTAGTCGGAACCTGAGTGGCGTTTAGTGCCTCTTAAACCCAGGCCTTTGGTTCACTCTAGTTCTATGATTTGCTCCCATATTGTACCGTCTCACCACAATAGAACGAAATTCACTTTGATTGTACGCCTTTGGCTAACTTGACCAAAGCTAGAAATCTGCAATCTGAGCTAATATAGTTTCACAGTCTATGATTATAAAAATATTGACAATAAATATTTACCAAGGGATTCCTAAGTGTGGGGCAGGATGCTCAGCAGTTCATAAACGTTCTGTTACTTGGTCCTCATTCCAGCAGAGGAGGTGGCCTGCAGTTATGCCCATTGAACAGATGAGGAAGCCGAGACGCTGTGCTCAGTGGTAAAGCCCAGGGCCAGAGCCAGGATCTGAACCCAGGTGGTTGGGCTGTAGTCTTGCCGCCTGTGCCTGTTCCGGGCAGTTCTTTAAGAGCTTTTCTAACCTTATATTCTGGGATTGAGATCTTCTGTGTACCTTGACATTTTCTTCCCTTTTCCCAAAAAATATATAATTTCATGCCCTTCTTTTCTTGCAGGAAACCTGTTGTTCAGAATTTAGGTGGTGCATTATTTTCTCCAGAAAAAATATTTCCAAAATAGAGTGGCAGATTGGAGCTTGAGATTGTAAACTCTTAGCTGTGTTTGTCCTCCATGGTCTTTTCTTCTTTGGACACTGAGGTGTAGCTGCATTTCAATGTTTGTTTGTTTCCCTTGGAAACGCAGTTTTAGTGAAATCAGTTTGTTTTCTCTGATGGGACTCGTCATGTGACGCACACTGGTCTGAGGGCGAGAACCTTAAAAAGGACGTGTGACATTAGGATCTGTGAGAAGATGTTTCTCACGGCACACTCCTGTATTCCCCACTCCTCCCCCAAGGAAAAGCAGTATTGAAGGTGGAAATACAGTTCACCCTGAGGCCTCTGCTGTGCCGATGAGTAATAAGAGTGTCAGAGGAGGGCCGAGGGAAGGGCTGGTTAATCTAGACGATTACCGAGACCCACCAGTAGGGCGATAACCAGCCTTTTCTTCTGGTTTCCTCCCGGAGAGCAGGGAGTTTGAAAGGCAGGAGGCAAAGAACTGTCAGAGTAGAATTCAAGTTCTTTTTGTAAGGGTTTGCCAGGGCTCGCCACTGGGTGATTTGGGATGTCCGAGAGATGAATCCCCTTTCAGCTAGTGACTCGGTCCTTATTCGCTGTTCAGCAACGTCGCCTGGGCTTGGAAGGGCCCTGTGATCCTCTGGCTTTACAATGGGCAATGCTGTTCAAAAACAGAAGCCCCCGAAACGAAGCCCGCTGTGCCCCTGGAAACAAGGTAAGAAGGCCCTGGGCCTCATCTGCAGGAAGAAGGAAGGAGACTGCCTTCTGTTGGCATGCTTTGGTTCAAGTCCAGAGCTGACACTGCGCGGGGAAACGCCTTCCCGATCAGACAACGCTTGCAGTTCAACATAGTTGAGAGAAAATTGACAGTTCTTAAGGAGTAAAATGATGGCATGGCTTGGCTGAGAATTTAGTTCAGCTTGCGGTTTTTATTCAGTGCAGCATGTGTCTGTTGGTTGAAATCTTTTAGCTTTAAAAGATATTCCAAATAAAAATTTTGATATCCAGGAGTTTGAATTTTTTGTGACACTTTGGTTTAGAGAATGTTATTAATAGCTGTCAAATATATAGCACCTTTCTTGCAAAGAGTTTGAAGTACCTTCTGTAAAAAATCTCATGTTTATCCATCCTAGACGCCTGTGATGCAGGGCAGCAGCATCTATTAACACCTACTCTGTGTCTCTCAAGGGCTGTGTTAGTGTCAGCTTTGAGGAGGAGGAGCTGGCAGGACCACAGAGTGATGCCGTGGCGCGCCTGGACTGGAGGACCTTTTAACAGTGTCCCAGGGCGTTTCGGTCTTCCAGTGCACTCGGCTGCCTTTTCCCGCTGTTGTTAACCCCGCAGACCAGCAGTTGGCAGACCCGGCAGGCATGTCACAGTCCCAAAGGTGGTACCTGCAGGACTTCATCGGGTCTTGCCTCTTTTGCCTCCACTTGCCAAAAAGAAGTGAAGGTAGCAATTCACCTGTACAAGACAGTGTAATTGCAGTTCTATGTACGGGTGTGTGTTTATGAACAGAAAAGATAAACTGGAAGAAAATACATGGAAATGTTAACAGTAGTTGTCTTTTGTGGTCAGATTATGGATAAATTCTTTTTTCTTTTTAAAAGGGAAAAATAAGTGGGATGCTAATTCACTGTCAAGTTCCAGCCCCTCTGACTTGCCATCAGTCATTCTTGGGCCAATGTGTTACTTTGCAAAAGATACTCCTTAGTGGTCCTTCATCCGATCCTGGTTTGAACAGAACAGCGGTAAAAGATGTCTGGGGGACAGATCAGGAAATTTGAATATGAAGTGGGTAGTAGATGACATTTGGGGACTGTTGCTCATTTTACTATGTGTGATAATGGTAATGAGTCATGTAGGAGAATGTCTTTTTTTGGATAGTCATGCTGAAGTATTGAGGGGTGAAGTGTTCTGTTGTCTGTAATCTTACTCCAGAATGGTTCAGGTGAATGCATGCATGCATGCATACATACATACAGATAAGCAAAATACAATAAGTTTAACCAGTGTTAGAATCCAGGCAATGGATATATGAGGTTTGTTATATTTTCTTTAATGTATTTTTACTTATTTTTTAGGAGAAAAAACATTTAAAAACCAGTTGCTGGTTACAGCATTGTAGTACAGTGTCCTTCAGAAGAATGGATCTTAGCAGATGTGGGTATTGACTGAGGTGGGTCAGGACCCACCCTTCTTCAGTGCCCCGTGGGCTGGTGTCTGTAGCCACCAAGAAGAAAATTGGCATTGATCCAGTAACTCAAAAGCACCACTTTTATAACAAGAATGTAATACATTTCCTGACTTTTAAAGATTTTATTTATTTATTTTTTTCCCCCCAAAGCCCCAGTAGATAGTTGTATGTCATAGCTGCACATCCTTCTAGTTGCTGTATGTGGGACGCGGCCTCAGCATGGCCGGAGAAGCGGTGTGTCAGTGCGTGCCTGGGATCCGAACCCGGGTTGCCAGCAGTGGAGCACGCTCACTTAACCGCTAAGCCACGGGGCTGGCCCCATTTCCTGACTTTTAGATTGTCCCTGGTTTTCCTTAGGAAAATGTATAAGAGTTAAAGCTTCTTAAAATTTCCATTGGAAGCAGGTGGGTTTACAGACAAAATTAAAGAAAGTTATATGTTTCATTATGTGTAGTTGTGTTGAGTAACTTGGAGGAGTTGTGGGACCGCCGTTGATAGTAGGGATCTCAGGACCCACAGTGAACTGAGCAGTTCATTGCCCCTGACTTCTGAGCCCCCAGATTGGCTGGTGTTGGGGTTTGTTTGTTGGCGCAGCTTAGACCCAGGACGGCAGTGAGGCCCCACCGAGGACCCACAGTAACAAGGATGTGGAGTCGTCCTTCAGTTTGTCTGTTTGTCTTTGTCTTTAAAGGTTGTTTATGTTTTGGAAATGGGTTTTAGAACAATATTTAGGAAGCAGATCTAGTGAACCCCAGGCCCCACCCTGCCCCTGATCTGAGTGCGTTTTCCACATCCCTGCTCAGCACGGTTGTGAAATCTCGGGATGACTGATGGCTCCAGGCTCCAGGGCCAGCAGTGTGGTGTCAGCGTCTGCTTTAGGAGCAGGAGACTGGGAAACGGGCACGTCCTCGTGTGCATGTGCTCCAGGCAGCTGGGACAGGCCGGGCTGCCCCCGACCCCTGTCTGCCTGTCTGTTGCCCTGCGATGGCAGGCTTTAACCAGAGCCAGACAGTCGTGATTAGGAAGGTCAAGCCCAGAATACGTTCTGAAGGGCAGTTTAAAGGAAATCATTATCTGCCCTCTAGAGCTTTTCCATTTCTGTTTCCGGGTCATATATCTGGAAAGTTGAAAAACTGAAGTGACAGAGTACTAGTTGGAGAAACATGACTCTCACCGCCTCTGCCTGCTGTGGTCCTAAAGAGCATTTTACACCTTGTAGAGAACCATCTCTCTGATGATTTTAAACAGTGCGAGACATGCACCCTTTGAGGGGACCAGTGTTATACTCTCTGACCTTACACGTATTTCTTATTTTTCTTAATAGCTCTCGGAAGGGAAAATCTAAGGAAAAAACAGCACTGCTCTTTGTTTTTTTGTGATAGTGGATGCTTGCAGTGGTTGATAAATTTGTCATTTTTATTACCATAGTGAATTCTAGCAGGCCTCCATACAAAAAAATAGGGTGGGAGGTAGGGTAAGGTAGTGGCTTTGCATAATCCTGAGTGGTCTAGCCAACTAGAGTTCTGCCCCTGCCTTGCTCTCTGACCTTGAACAAGTGAGTTTCGTAATCCCAAATCGCCTCATTCACTCACTGCCCTTATCTCCAATGGCCTTCTCCAAATGCTTGCCTCTTATCATGTTCTCTATTTCCTCAGAGCCCTCACTACAGGGATTTTTAAAAAATTTATCTGCTTAGACACTACTTGTTTGTAAACCGCCTGAGGGCTCTCTGTCAGGATCATTGTTCTGTCCTCCATACTAGCCCAGTGTGTGGCACTTGGTGTCCTCCATGAGTGCACTCGGTGACAAAGCTGAGTGCTCCCTGGATCCCAGTGTCACTGTGGGTATAAATGAGGGATGAAAGGTAGAGGCTGGTTCCTGGTGCATAGTAGGTGCTCAGGAAATGGTAGCCACCAGTGCTGGTGGGTGTTGGGTGGTTATATGAGGCTTGGAAACGGTCATTCTTTGCCTTTCTCTGCCTGAAGTAGAGACGTTGGGGGATGAAAATAGGTATACTTTCCTCTATCCCATAGCAATTCCGAATTTACAAAGAGCAAATTTATTGACGATTGTTCACATTGCAAAAGATTGCTTCATAAAGGTCACTTACATCACAGTCAACACTTAGTTGTTGATTCACTGACCCGGACACGTGGGGAAACCATCAATTTAAATTGAACTTCTCTGCAATATTCCTATAGTCCCGCCGTCTCAGAAGACTCTCTCTTTTGTTCGTTCGTTCGTTCTTTTTCAGAAATAATCTGAAGGATTGTTTACAGTGGTCATTTTGGCTTTTGGGAGTACAACAGGGGCAGAAGTTTCCTTGGGAATTAAAAATTGAAGCAGTAGTTGCAAATTGAATTATTATCTCCTTCAGAAATCCCAGCAGCTCAGGGCCATACCAGCCTGGTGAATGGAAACATTAATGATTTTGCATGTTTGTACACAGTTGGGTGTGAGCGCACGAAATTAGCAGCCTCAGTGGAAGAGTTGACTAGAGAAAGTGTCTTTCCCAGGCCGGCTGCCTGGGGGTTTGGCAGTGCTGAGAAGGAGATTGGCTGGCTGAGGTGGGAGTGGGGAGTCCAGGATTTGCATGAATTCCACATGCTCCCTGGTTCCTCTGCTGTAGGGGCAAATTTAGAGTTGTTTGGATTCCAGGCTGCCACGGTGTTGGTGTTGAGACTTGCCTCTACAAGCTAGGTAGCAAAGAAGCATTTGGGCCTCCGGATACCTGTGAGCTAGGTAATTAATATTGATGGCTTTTTTGGCCAAAGCTAAAGCCGGCCCCCCCTCCCACCAGCCATTTTCTGGTCTTTATTCCATAGCTTTGGGGCCGCAGTGGTGTCTGGTGTCAGCCTCTCAGGCAGTACTCCGGAATGTGCGAGGGCTGCATCCCTCACTCCGACCACCCCGCTCAGTGCCTTCCAGCTGAGGAGGCAAGCCACATACTTCACATTGGTAAGCCTATTTCCTGGTCTCTACACGCCATTAGTAATAACGCCTACCTGGAAGGACTGTTGTGAGAATTGGATGAGATAATTCATGAAAAGGGGTTATAACCCTTAGCACACAGTAAGCACTTCATGAATAATAGTAATTCTGTTATCATACATTGCATAATAGAAAGAATCCTGGATTTGCCAGGATCGTGGCCCTGGCTCTGTCCCAGTCCCGACTAGCGATGTGCATTTTGCTAACTCGGCCTATTTCCTTCTCTCAATTGAAGGGCTCACATGCCAGATGATCTCAGAGGTGGCTTTGAGGGCTGTGAATCAATGACCAGCAGCACTGGCCACTGCCTTTCATATCTGCAAGGTCCCTGGGTGTTCAGTACCTGGAGAAGGCATCAGTCCTGCTGAGCACAGTGGTCACAGGGGATTTTTATGGTGTTGAGTTTCTTTGAAAATGGTTATTGTAGGACCAGACATAATTGAGCTATTCCTAGTTAACTAGAATATTAAACTAACCAGGACAATCCATTTTTCCCCTTCTGAGTACTGTAGTGTTGAAATTTTTTT